ATTTATTGATATTTTTTATTTTTTAGTTGATAAGAACATGATAAATCATAAAAAAGAACACAACAATAATCATTCTCAAAATATGAAATAAACAATAACCACAATATACAAAAAAATTAGAAATAATATGAAATGAATGATAAAGATGAATTTTATCAGAAAGAAATAAATAATAAGAAATTTGAAAGAAACAAAAGAAATAATATGAATAAATGATAAAATAAGTTGAAATAATAGAAGATATACATTATAATATCATCACAAATTATTATGATGATAACTAACAGTTAAATGAAGAATGAAAGAGAAGTAATAAATGATAAATATGATATTTTATATAAAACACAATAAAATAATAAAATAATAATAAATGATATAGTGATATTATCAGTACAATGATAATGTATTACATCAACATTAAATATATCATTGAAAATCTATAATTCGATTCTTTTTAAATAAACAACACAAATGATAGAAATGAACAGAAGAACAAAAGAAATGATTGAGTTTATTGAAACAATTCAATAAATGATGTAATTGACATACTCAAAGAAGATAATTCAATATGATGTTATAAAATCATTAAGATGTGTAAAATTGAATATTATCTTCATTATATCAATTATTGAGTAATCAAATATTAAAGAAATGAAAATTGAGATATAACAATAATCAAATGATAAGATTCAAATGAAATATTGAAAAGAATGAACACAAATACAATATATTTCAACAACAAACAAGAGATAAATAATACAGAAAAAGAAATAAAGAAAATACATAAAATAAGAATAAATAATACAGAAAATAATAAATTAAAATATTAATCAAATAACAAAGATACAATAAATAAATACAAATAAAAGAATCAACAATGAAAAGAATAATAAAATAAATAATAAATAATATAAATTAAAATAAATTAAAAGTAATATTCAACTTATATAATAAAACAGAAAATAAGAAAGAATAAAAGAATAAAGAATGATAGAAATAAATAATTAAAATAAAATGAAATTAATAAATTAAAGAATGATAATAACATAATAAAGAACAATAAAATAATAAATAAGAAGAATAAGAAATATAACATCATAAAATATAATGATTAACTCATTATTATTAATTTCATTATTCATTATTCTTTCAAATAAAAATAATAAAATAATAAAGAAATAAGTTAAATTATAAACAATCATTATATTATTTAATAATGATTGAAATAATCTTATTATTTGTATGGCTCATGTTCAAATAAACCATAAGGAATAATCTCATTTCATTTCAATTACAATAATTCGTTGTGGTGTGAAATATTCTGGATATTGTTTTCCACCAAGTGCATTTGTTATTCCTTTATATTCATATGAACATTGATTACAAAATGATTCTGTTTTATAATTTTCTTTAAAAATACGAATATCATATCCATATCCAAATTCAAACAAATAAACATCTGATTGATTATATAAACAAAATGCATGTTCTGGATCTTTAATATCAAATTTCATCATTCCTTGCAATCTTCCATTTGATTCTAATGAAAATAAAAATGATTTCGGATCATTTATACAACCAAATTTATCAATTTTCTTATTAACATATCCTCCAAATTTATTTCCATCTTCATCTTCAATAATAATTATTATATGTTCTTTATTCATTATTCTTTTATCAAATACTGATGTGTTCTTATTCCAATTATCAATATTTGAATCAAATATTATATTTCCTATTTTTCTTGATGTCCATTCTTCTATTTGTTGAATTTGACATCTTTTAATGGTTAAATCATTGAGAGAAATAATTTGTTCTTTATCTTCTTCTTTTGATTGAACTTCATCTGTTTCTTCTTTGCTTTCCTTGTTTTTATTTTCTATTATAAATTTTATTTTTTGGAGATATTTCTTTTTAATTTCTTCTTGTATTAATTCTTTCACTACTTCTTTACTAACTTTGGTGTTGATTGACTTACTGATTTCGTTAATCAAATACCATTGTATTTCTGTACTTGTTGTAAGACCTTGAATTTCATTTTCATGGAGCTTTAGGTTTTTGCTCATTTTTTCATTTTCTTCTTTTAGTTTTTTTACTTGTTCATTAATGTTTTCTTTGTTTTCATCAATGAGCCTGATAATGTCTTCTTTTATTTTTTCTTTTGTTACCATTATTTCTAAATTTGTTTCTAAGCTACAAATTCTGTATTCATGTTCTTGTATTTTGTTTTCTATCTTTGGAGTAACTGTAGCTGAGTGGATAACTTCTTCATGAAATGGTCTCTGTGTTTTTCTCTTGTTTTGGTTTTCCATTTATTTATTAGTTTTAAGTTCCATTCTGTATTGCAAAATGAATTAATTCGGGAACCAAAATAAGCAAAGAAATAATGAATCTAAATAAAAAACACCACAAAGAAAAAGGGGGTAAAATAATTTGAATTAATAAAATAATAGTTTTTATTATTTTGTTCTTAAATAATAAACAAAAAGTAGACAATTAAGTGATAATAGAAATGTTTTCTATTGTTCCTTGCTCAGGTAAGACTAATCCGGGAACCAAAATAAGCGAAGAAATTATCATCTAAATAAAATGCTTAATTGAAAATGGTGTATTATATTTTTTGAATATTAGATTATTCTGTTTTATATTATTTTCTCTTAAAATTATAAAAATATAAAATAAAATAAAATGTAGGTAAAATAATAATTCTATAACAATCAGTTGACATTTTGTAATATCTTATTGTATTGAGTATGATGTATATTGATTTGTTGAGTATATTCATTCATAATTCTCTTCATTTTATATTATTCTTTATATCTTTCATTTACAAACAAATCTATTTTAATGTGAAAATATCATTATGAAATGTAATAAAGAAGAACATTATGTTAATTCAAATTTATAATGTTAGTTATGAATAACAATGATTATATAAATATGAATATCAATCGTATTGTTATTAATGAGTAAATATGTTACATTTCATTTATCATACTGATAAGATGTCATAATGATATGTTAACAGATGTTATTATTTATTTATTTAAATGATATAATTATTGATATGAAAATTAAATTATATCACAGATGATTATCAATGATGAATGATGATAATATACAATGTAAATTATTTATATTATCATATCAAACAAGAGTTAAATGATGAAACAAATAAAAAGATAATAAATAACAAGTGTCAATGAAATGATGATATGATAATAACAAATTGAATAATTTAAACATCAACACAATAATACAGAATGAAGAATGACTATTTAATATGTATTATAAATTAAACATTTATAATTAATAATAATGAATTTAATGTTCATCTTCAACTTTCATTCATGATAATAACTCATTAATTTTATCATTAATCATTATATTTATTTTCTTATTATTTTCTTTATTCTTTCTTTTATCATTTTCTTTTTATATTTATTTTATTTCAATTTCAATTTCATCAACAGATATATTCATTTAATACAGAAAACGAAGTAGAAAGATATAACTAATAATGTACAAATATCTTCTTCTCATATTTAATCACAAATATTTTCATCTAATAATATTTTCTACTATTTTTTACCTTTTAAACAATTAACAAGAATTAATTTGCAATATGATAATTCATTTCAATATTCTATCAAACATAAACACCAAGTTTTAAACAAACAATGAATACATTCATTACATTTAGACAACAATTATGAAATAATTAACAACATCACAAATCATTATAATAATATAATGATGAATACGAATGAAATGCATAATTTCTGACCGACTAATCCCATCCATTTGTTTTAAAACTGTTTATTCATCAACTATTGGCCTATTCTTTGCTTCTAGTTGTTGAAATGTGAGAATTTTCTTTTCTCATTTTTGATGTGGAATAGAATATTTTAAACATCTATTATTTAAATATTCATTATTTAATTTCTTTTTAATTTTGATGAATTTAAAATTATTCTTTATGTTCTTATTTTAAGGAGAATATACAATTACTAATGTATTGCTTTGGGCTAATATTCTTTTAGCCTCAACCACTAGACCCTTTTTCTTTATTAATCTTATATTATTAAATATACTTGCATCATAACAAGTAGTAATACCATCTTTATAAATACCCATTCTTTTTATCAATGATATTCTGTCATTGTAATTAATAATCACTGATATTCTTGCAGCACTGGGTAAGTGTTTTTCAACTAAATACAACATTATAATCAGTATTCAATGGGTATTCGAAGGATGGAAATAATTTAGGGAGTGTGGTGTTGTCTCTGATGTGCTATCTTCGAATCCCATAAAACAAAAAATTAAACAAATAGAATATTTAATTAATATGAAGAAGAAGAATAGAATAGACCTTAATAAAGAAGATAGAATAAGAATAAATAAAAATAAAATAATGATAAGAAATTAGAAGAAGATTAAATAAAATATATAATATCATAATAATGAAATAATAAGATAATAAGAGATGAATATGAATTAGAATTAATAAGAACTATTATGTATTATGAATGGAAATAATGAAATATGAGAAATGAATAAAATGAATAAGAATTGAATTTGGAAGAGATTTCATAAATCATGTGGGAAGAGAATTAATAAAAATGAAATTAATGAAATATATTTATTGTTACAAAATAAGAATGAATCATCTATAATAATAAAATATTTAAATATTAAATTTAATGAAATACATATTAATAAATTGAAATTAAATAATGTAAATATTCATTTAATAAAATAATTTGAAAATAAAATGAATGATATGAAATTAACAAGTAGAATAATGATGAATATTAATATAAAATGAAATGATTATAATTAATTAAAATTAATACAACAAAATGGTACATTTGTATAGATTAAGAATGCATTATTTACATAAAATAATAAATTAAAGTGGTGTAGTATTTGTAATGATAAAATATCAACAATTGAACATATATTATTAAATTATAATGTAAATAAGAAAGTACATATTAATAAACATGAATTAATAAGAGAATATATCTGGAGATGTGATAAATTAAAATATAAAATAAATATAATGAATGATGAAGAAATAGAGAATAAAATAAAATAGAATAAAATGAAATTAATATTAATATTAATAAAAATGAAAGGGTAAACTCAAAAGAAGAATATAAAATAATGAAGTGTTCATTGTATTGAATCATCAAATAGGTAATAAAAGTGAATATTTCATAAAATACTAGATATTTATATAGAAGATAAAATAAACAAATATAAATAATAAATGATATGACAATAATATGTGATAAGAAGATAATTCTAATATTTATTAACAAACTTGAAATGTATAGAACACTCCATTTCAAAATAAAACAAATTAATAAACTAAAATGAAAGTAATTGTAGTGTTAATAACAACAAATTGATGAGTCAATAAAGAAACAATAAGAATGATAAAATAACAAGGTATAATAATTCAATATGAAATAAATGTAAAAGATATAATAATTATAAACATGAAAGATAATGAAATAATGTGGATAACATGAAAGTGAATATAAAGATATAGAACTACCTCATGAACATGACTCAGTAGAGAGTGAAGGATGTGATGTAATTTCACTTGAGTAAATTGAAATAAATAAAACAAGAACTACTCTTACTTATTTTATTAGTTTTTATTATTCTTTATTACTTTCTTGATTTTATGAGTTCAAAGATATAATAGAAACACCATAATATACTGCTTGAAAGAATATTCTATTCAATAATTATTGATTGGAAACGATGTTACATTTAGTTAAGGTAATAATATTATTGATATATCTGTAACAATACAGATATTGTATTTGTTTATTACTTGTTATTTGGTGTCATGAATGAATATTATTGATTGTAAATGAAGTTCATTGAATAACAAGAAAATGAATACTAATCTATTGATTACAACTAAGGACTATTTTTATTACTTATTATTGGCTAATGGTAAAGTAGATTATTAATTATTAATGATGGTTACTGATTATAAAGAGTTGATAGTCATTAATTAATAAATGATTAGAGTTGAAGAATATAGAATATTATTAATAAAATGTGTTATAATGGTAGTTCTTATGAATATAAAGAAGATGATTTATAACCACAGTCACAGTGTTAATGATATATTCTTCTTAACATATATGAATTATTCTCAATACAGTCATGAATCCAATATTATTCAGTGATATTTAAATGTTAAGTTAATAACTTATTTAATTCACTATTTAATTGATTATTCATTAAAATACATTATTTCATATTCAATAATAATGAATAAACTAATTTACTTATCAACATAATAAAAATATAAACATTAAATATCGTAATTGATTGTTTCTTATGTACTAAAATGACGTTAATCCAAAAAGTTATTTATTCTTTCTCTTATTTTTTATCATTTTCTGGATTACGTTCTGGGCTACGATTACTTCTTGCTCTTTGATACTCTGCTTCAGCTCTCTCATGGTCCCCTTGCAAACTTGCTATCATTCCTCTTCTAGTATGTTCAATAGTGTCCAGCTCTTATAATACGTGAATCTCTTGACATTCCCCAATCCTGGGTCTTTTATCAACAGAACGAAGTGCTTTTCCTCCAGCATAATCACTATCTTTTCCTACTTTTCCTTCTTTTTTACTACATCTGACATTATTCTTTCTTTTCTTTATTTATTGAAACTAAAATAATTCTTTTTATTTTCAAAAAAAAATATAAAGTTAAAGTCAACTCCAAAATAACCAATAACAAAAAATAACAAATAATAGATATATTCACAATTTGATATTATGATTATTGAGAAGTGATTATTTCAGTGATTTCAATATATTCTATTTCTATAATAGAGTTCATTTCTAACATATGAGAATTAGAAGGTTCATCTTCTAATGTACTACCAGTGTTGAATATGTAGAATATTAAGTATTTCATGTTTTTAATAATGATTGTTCGTAGTATTTTGGGGAAGTTGATTTGTAATTTTAGTGTCTTTAATCTTCTTACTGTTTCTTTATGTATCAATTTATTGGATAATATTACAGGTATTATTTCTACATAAGTTATTTCTCTACTTTGTATTAATTTTTCTTGTAATTCTTTGTATTTATTTATTTTGTAAATATAATTTAATTCATTATTTCTATCTTGACATATATCAACATCATTAATATATCATTTTTTCATTGATGATTTGATAATATATATCTGGTCTTCTAACATTAAAAGAATAGTCATTAATAAATAAATCAATAATTTAATATAAGAATATATTAATATTAATATCCATTTATGATATATATTAAAATCAAATTTCATCAAATTTAATAAAATATGTAATTAATATATGTTTATATATTTGATTACATATATATTCATGTTTTGATATTTGATTCTTCTTCATTACATTATAATAATATATTGCTAATAGATGGAATTGTGTTAGGACAATGTTTTCAATATTTTAATATATCAATATGAAGTAAATTAGAATTAACACTTCGTGTCATAATTACTCATTCTTGCATCTTTACTACTTAGAGGAATACATTTCTTTTTATATTTAATGACATGTGGTTATTGATAATTTCATATTATTAAATATACATTTTACATTTATTATATATTCACCATATTTCTTTTCTTTTAAATATCTTTTATTTATTTTATTTGTTACAAATTCAAATACTTTGTTTACATCATGTTTTCTTTCATTTATTTGTATTATATTAATTTATTAAAATTAATATTCTTACCAAATGTTCTCTTCATTCTTTTAATTATTCAATTTGGATTATCTTTTACTATTATTTCTTTTATTTCTTATTTGTTGTTGTCTTTTATTATGGTATTGTTTGTGTCATATTTGTGTTTTATTATGTGATTTATTTGTATTATAATATTGATTGATTCTATTTGAATTATTGATAAAATACTTATGATGATGAAAATGATTGAAGTGATGAGTGAAACGATTCATACAATTATTATTATAATTATTATGATAATTGTTATGGTGATAGTTAATATTATGGTAATGATTAATGTGATGATTAATGTATTTCTGTCCATACAGATAATATGTTTTCACTCATTCTTCTATCATTTATATTTCATGGATGATATTGATTTCTCCTTCTTTTGTTATTGATTTTTTATAATTTTTGTGGTGTGTCCTGTAACTCTTCTTTTTTTCCCTCCAAATAGCAAATAACATCTAATAGACAATAAAAGTAGTCGAAACGTTGCAGTATTGGATAGTGGTGTTATCGTTTTTTAATAAAGTCAACGTCACGACAAGACAATAATTATTGAATTGAAGCATGTACCTCATTTAGGGTTTCTTTGCTGTGTTTCTGATATGTAACATTCGATTCTTAGTGATGAATTAAGTAAGAATATAAAAAGCAAGAGATATTTAAAAAAGAAATGTGTAAAAATGCGAGAATAAATGAAGCAAATTTCAACAAATAGATTTTTAAACAAACAAATATATATCAATCAAACTAATTAAACAAAATTATTATTTTCTCTTTAACCTTTTTGGAATTCTTTTTTGGTTATCTTTATTTCCTTCAGTACTTGGTTGGTACAACAAAAAGTATGTTTTAAAGTATTGAATTAAAATTTATTCTTTTTCTTAAAAAGTTAAGAAAATAACCCTTTTTAGTTTGACTATTTTTTTCTTCGACTATCAATTACACTTGCAATGACAGTACCCACAATAGCACCTGCAGCAAGCAAATTTGGTATTGTTTCGTCAAGGTCGATACCTTCTTTATCTTTTTTCTCTTTTGGTGGATCTCTGTAAATATATTGTGGGACATATTCTTTATGAAAATCTTTGGTTTTAGTCTTAGAACTAACAACTTCCCAATCTGAGTAAACAGGTTCACGCCCATAATAAGGAATTCTTCTCTCCCTAGTCAGGTGGTTGATTTGAATTGTTATACTACTTTTTGTTTTATTTATGATTATTTCTTCATCTTTCTCTTCTAGAATAACAGATTCATAGAAAATGTCCCTCTTTACAACTTTATCAACATCAATAAATGATAACTTTCTTGCCCATTTTAAAAGAGATTCAATTTCATTCTCTGATCTAGAGTTATCATATCCTGCAAGTGGTTTTGAGTTTACAAAAAACATTGGGAAAATGATGCGTTCACTTCCTGTTGTTTGGTTAATAAAATCCATCAGTTCTTTATTATAATCTGATCTTTTAGTCTTAATATGTTCATCTAACACAGCTTGAGGTTTATAACAATCACAAAATGTCCATACTATACAAACATTTTCCAAAAGCCAGCAATTGGAAAGGCATTAGCTATTATTCTAATCATTATTTTAATATTTTCAGAAATCTATCCTCATTAAAATTTAATACAACAACAATGGCTTGGAGTCCTTCTCCTTCTTTTTTAATATAATCTACCATTTGTTTCATATATTCTCTTTGACTTTCTGGACCTTTAGAATCGTTAAAACCAGGTGTATCAATAACAAATATATCACTTCTATCACCTGTTCCGGAATATCCTTTTGTTTCATTGGTTTCAGAATTAGGATTAACACTAACACTAAACACATTCTTTTTAAGAATAAAATTACCAAGTGAACTTTTACCATGAACCTGCATGTCCCATAACAAGTAACTTAGTTTGTTTCATTGTCTCTTGAGTGTTGATTGATAGTTTTTACAACTCTTTTAAATACTGTGTAAGAATGTAAAAATAAATTCTATGTTATTCAATAATATTTTTGTTCATTTATTTTTATCATTTAAAAAAGAAATCACAAAACTCACTTGTTTGAACAAAAATCAATGAGAAACAGAAACTCATTCCAAGTTTAAAACTGATTTTTGATTATTTAATAATTTGAATACAATTTATGGTTTTTTTAAATATCATAACATAAATTTATTTACATGTTATAACTAGACAAATTAAACTTAATGAAATGAACTTTAAGAGGGGATTATCAATATTGCATATCCTCTTTTATTTTTTACTAGAGTTATTGAAGAAACAACTAAATACAATTATTTATGTTCAACTTTTATTTTTTCATAACAACAAAAATAATGACTAAATACAAAAACAATTATTTTTTATTGAATTTACATTGACTTGTATTGATAATAGATGACTTATACAGTATTCATCAATTGAATATTTTATATTTTAATTATATGATATCATAATTTCATTCTTTATTATCCTATTATTTTTACACCATTTTCATTTGATGATAAGAAGTTAAACAATGAAACAATTTCTTTAAATAGTGTACGAAAACTAAAACAATACCAATGCAATAGGAATCCAATACTTTTATGTTTTTTATTTTGAATCTTTAATCATTTTTGTTTATATGAATTTGTTTGTGCATTATATTCTAAACAGTTAATGAAAACTCTCAGTTTATTCAAATAAACAAGAGTATTATATAAATTAAGACAATTTCTATATTAAAATATTTATTATTGATTAATTTATTTCATTTTAATGTGTTATCATCTACAATATGAATATAGTTATGTTAAACAAACCATTCAGTAATATCATTTATTCTAAAACTAAAATGTAAGTACATTCATAGAAATAAGAATTAAAGAAAGAACATAAAATTAATTAACTTATTTGTATGTATCAAAAAAGAAATATCATTAAGGTTATGACAATATTGTCAAATTAATTTATATATTACTTCATTGAAAATAAAATATGTATTACCCAATATTTCTTTATGAATTTTAATAAAAATGAGATTGTTGGCGTTTTTTTATATGGATAACCAAAATGAAATCACAAGTTTACTATTTTCAAGTGTTATTACTTTTATTCATATATTAATGAGACTCTCTCATTATACAAGATTTATTTTATTTTATTTTAATAAAAATAACTATCAAATGTAATTTTAAGTTAAAACTCTTCAATTAGAGAGTTAAAGTAACACCATTACTCCTATTAGTATCAAAAATAGGTTTATTGTCATGTTTATTGTTCCATTGTCTATTGGTGGATTAACACATACATCTTCAATGCATTTATTATTGTTATAATCAAATTTATATCCTGAATCACAATATGATAGTACACATTTTGTGCTCCATTCTCCATTATCTCCACATTCATATCATCAATGTCCATGTTCTATATTAATTTTTTATCACATTTTTCATCTCTTTTAACTAATCTTTTATTCTTTGGATTACATTTTGTTTTATACTTATCAACTATTTTCAATGTTTCTTCTTCAAATTCTTCCAAGTTATTATTTGAATATTGAATATATTCACTCTTTCATCTATCATATCTGTTAGAAATTCTCTTGGTATTTTTTCTTTATACGCATAATTATATCTAAAAGATTCTAAGAAACTTAAAAGAAGTGAGTATCATATTCAGAGATTTTATATTTAGAACTACATAAATCATAACCATCTTTCACTGCCGATGGTGATAATCCCACTTCAAATTCTTCATCTTTACCATTAGGATCACCATTGAATCCAACAAGAATAGCACTTCCACATTCTTTTAATCCTTTTGTAAATACTGAACAAGCAGAATAACAAAATGAATCAGTATAAACTACTATTTCTGTTGGTTTTCTTGGTTTACTCATTAATTTCTTTGTTTCCCATTTCATAATTGATGGTTGTGTAATTTTATGTTCAACATTTCCATATTTTATTGTTTTTGGTTTTATATACCATCTGTTTAATTTGATCATGCAATATATCTTTTTACCAACCCACACAATTTTATTGAAAAAGCCTTCTGGATTCACTCCTGCACATTTTTGAAGTTCTTTTTGATCATACAATTTTCCCCTTTTATTGCATGTTTTAGGGTCATTTAATAAATCTCCATCGATCCCTTTTTGTAACATTTCTTGTGTACATGTTGAAGTCCTTGCTGAAACTATTGTTCTTACATCATTATGTGGTGCAAATATCTTTTCTATCCATTGTTCCCTTCATCTCCTCCTTCATTTTCTGGAAGTATCACTTGAATTGGATATTCATTTGAGTCAAATAATTCGATACAATTTAAAATTGTTTTATAATAAGGACTAAGTGTATGAAAACTTATAAAACTTTTCAATATAAAAGTGTTCACTTTTTTGTCTGAAACTCTACAATATATGGGTTCAACTAATGACCCATATTCGTTTTTTAATTCTTCATTTTCAATCGATTCTGTGGTTCTATTAATTGATTTTAAAAATTCTTCTTCCATTAAATGATGCTTATTAATGTTTTCTATCTGTTCTTTGTTCACTTTATATCTTGAACCATATTTAAGAATTGAATAATTAACATTATCACTTTGACCATTTTCCCATGTAATATAAATTGGTTTATTTAAATAATTTTTTGATAGTGGTTGTAAAGATAATCTTCCTTGTGTTAATGCGTAATCAGATTCTGATGACTTTGCTTCTGTGAACTGTGCATGTAGACACCTTAATCGAATATACTCTTTTCCAAATTCACGAATATTAAATTGATACTCTCTATTTATTGTTTTAACTGCTACATTCTGATTATTTATTATTTCATTTGGTGTATTCACGGTAATACTTTGGAGTCATTATCAACATATATTGTAAATAGAATGAAATAATAGAAAA